AGAGCAGTAAAAGTGTGTGTTATTTATATTTCTTACTGTTATTTGAGCATGTAGTCTTGATTATAAACAGCATTGGAGTTAAAATACTATCATAACTATAGTTTAGCAACTACAGTTAAGCAAGTACAGTTTCGAATGCAGTTTATATGTACTTCTTTCCACCCGGGAGGAGTGAACCTTAAGATACCCTGAAAATTTGAAGTCTCTAGCACATCTCCTTCTAGTGGAACAGACAGACAGACACAGAGACACACAGACACACAGACAGACACGAGGTCGTTTGCATAAGCCCGCTGGATAGCTTTTTCAAAGCAGAAGGGCGGGCTCAAAACAAAAAATGAAAAGAATCAAATAAAATCTGAACAGATAAAGTTTTAGTAAATCCTTAAGTTCTTGAGCTCACAAAACCATGGATAAGAACAGCGGAAAGTAGACAGGTATTTGTAAACTTCAATTCTTCCATTCAGCATACTTGTATGTGAGGGGTATGCATTATTGAACCCTTGTGTGCTACTTAGGGTGAATTAATTGCCATCCGAGTCTTACTTTTGGTGACATCTGCAGAGGATTACAAAATGGTATGAGACTTGATAGCCATACTGTGTTTAAAATCTGGAACCAGAATATCACACAAGAGTATGCATATACCTTTGTCTTTTTCTTTTAAAAAAAAGGTCAACAAAATAGCCACTAACCGGCCTGTGTTTCCATCTTGTTCGTATCAAATTTCCACACAAGAGAGGCACAAATTTATTCAGACCTGGATGACACATCACAAGACCTAAAACAGAGAGTATGTGAACTCACTAAGGCATGAATATTAATATTGTTCAATGGAAGAGAAGCAGCACATATTACTACTATTGACCAGAATCTGTAATCTAAGAGACAACTCAAACGACAAGGAAAATACTTCCAACTTACATTCTATCAAACATCAAAGCAGCTCTATCAAAAATAGTCATAGAAAAACCAATTAGAGGACACCAGATAGAGTTAGAGGGTAGGATCTTCAACATGACTAATCAAAGCAAGATGTGATTCCAGAAGAGGTCCGCAGAACAAGGTCAGATGTTTACCTACAACGTAAACACAGAAAAAATACATGGATAAGTACAGATAAATGGGGGTACGGAAAGATTTTCATAGCAGAATATACAAACTGTAATGAATGATGAACGTAAGAATGTATGTAAGGCAACCTGGTCTGTCAATCCTTGACTCACGTCATCCCCATGAACTATAGGGAGCTAGGAGCACTCATATAAGCATTGGATGTAAGTGTGGCTGACAGTCCTACAGTCTTCAAGACTTCAAAAAATTATTCTGTGCAACAATCACCATCACATGAAAACCAGTTTGGAGACATCTGACAAAAAATGAAAATTGATGAAGGTAATACAAATATTTTCAAGGGATATAATTTAAAAACATCAATCAAAATGGCGATTCTAACAAGCAAGGGACAGTTGTGATTAATGTATCAGCTAAAACTGCTGTTTTTTGATTGCGGATATGGGAATGAACTTGAAGAGCCTGGGCAACATAACCCCATATCAGCAAACAAACTAACGTTACGGTACAGGGAAGTAACTAGATCGGTTACAGTCTGGGTACATCTTGGCGAAAACGTATCATGTCCCTGAGTTTTCAACAAGATTCGACCTAGCATAATATTCATCAAAAAAAGAAGAAAAAAGACTAGCCTCCAGAGAGTTCGGTTCTACATTGCACCAGCTCTGGTGCATCCAAGGACCGAAATATTATCTGCACCAGCTGGTTTAAATAAGACCCAAAATGTTACATGCACCAAAGCTTTGTCCCGGCTTGGACGGCTCGCACCGGTTTACCCACTACCCTTGAGTTGGGCCGTGTGGTGAGCCGTGTACGGAAAGCCACAGTATTTAAATAGAAAGCGTTTCTTTTTCTCTACTGTATCGAAATGGATGCGGCTAGTTCAACTAGGCGTGGCCGACGTGCCCTTCAATCTTGCGACGGCGACTTAGTAAGTACCGAATTTCCTTTTTCTTTGGAAAGTGTATACAGTGAGATATATCTTCTATTTGAAAGTTATTTCAAACCTTAAACATTTGTTTGTGTATATGCTCCACACAGAAAGAAGTGGGGAGGTCATGCTATGTGATGTCGTCCCAACAATTAAATGAATTATGGAAAT